AAGACGTTTCCGTGGTCACGTGGCCGGCATGACTAAACACCAAGGTGCATGGAACGCTGTTACCTTCCCACCAAAGTGGTACCTATTTATCTACTTGCAATTTCTTGCTTTCGAACTGCTAGGTTGGCAGGAGCTGGAACTAGAGACGGGAGCTCACTCCGTCATGCGGCAACTTGGGTCTCGAACTGCTGAACTACTGACCTTCCACAGCCTGCAATTCAGCGTCTTAACCACTTGAGCCACCGCAGCTCCTGTAATGCCGGTACCGGAGATATCAACTGTATAAAGGACAGCAGCTGGTAAGCCCCGAGCTGGTGTATCTTCACTGCAAGGCCTCATGCGCTGGGGAGGAGGTGCAAAGGAAAACCCACATGGGCAGACTGGAGAGCCAGCAGTGCAGCCGTGGACACAGACACTCCCTTGCCGCTTGACTGCTGCAGAAAAGGTTGTTCCACCATGCTGAAGCCACAGAGTGCTCTAGAGTCTGGGGAAAAACAGAAGTCCCTCCCCAAGGATTGCCCCCAAATCTCCAGGAATTTCCCAAGCCAAAGCTGGCAACCCTACTTCTCTGTGTCATACAATATCCAGCTGATTGTAACATCCGAATGGTGTAGCCGTGTGTGATTTCAGCAGATTTTGTGGGAAACCCAAAGCAATTTCTTCTGGAACTTGGTTTCAGAGGGCAGCCGTACTGATTTGCCAGGGAACACCAAATTCAAGTCCAGTAGCACCGTAGAGACCAACTGGATTGCTAGTCTCTGCAGTGCTACTGGACTCGAATCTTGCTTGTTCTGGAAGTTGGGTCGCTTTGAAACCCCTATGACCCAAAGAAGATGAAATACTACGGTCTACAAAATGGGAGCTGGTTTGGGGAGCTCCTAGTCCATCCTTCTCCCCCCCCCCTTGCCTCACATTAGCACTTTAACACATAGAATTCACTGCCACAGGAGGTGGTGGTGGCTACAAGCATGGACAGCTTCAAGAGGGAATTAGATAAACATATGGAGGAGAGGTCCATCAGTGGCTATGAGCCACAAGGTATAGGTAGGAACAGGGCTATTTTTGGGCAGGAACGCACAGGAACAGAGTTCCGGCTGGCTCCTGAGTTGGCCACGCCCAGCAGGAACTCATTAGCATAATAGGCCACACCCAACAGCAGAAACTCATCGGGCTTGGCTACATTAGGGGTGTGTGGCCTAACATGCAAAGGAGTTCCTGCTCCAAAAAAAGGCCCTGGGTGGGAGGGCTTCTAGTGTCCTGGCCCCACTGCTGGACCCCCTGAGGGCACTTGGGCCACTGCGTGACACAGAGTGTTGGACTGGATGGGCCATTGGCCTGATGCAACATGGCTTCTCTTATGTTCTTATGTCTTGTATTATATACGTACCAGTGCAAACCCTTGTAATGAAGGTGTGCAAATGTCCTTAAACAGGTGGCAGCACTCTCTGGGTTACCGTGACCTGTTATCAGTCCACAAGTAACACAAAGCTGAAAGGGAAGAGGGAAATCAGTCCAGAGACCCAGGGGGGTGGGGTGGGGTGGGGAGCATGCATGCCTGAGACGAATGGCACATCAACGCGTGCAAGAGGCTGCCGTTTCCTCAACCTGATCTCATCAAATCTTGGGTGCTAAACAGGCTTTGTACTTGGAGACCGCCAAAGAAGACCCTGCAGAGGAAGGCAATGGCCAATCACCTCCGCATCTCACTTGCCTTGACAGCCCCTTGCTGGGGTTGTCACGAGTCAGCGGCAGCTTGATGGCGCCCACACAGGGCTCAACGATAAGAGAGGGAAGGGGGCATGGGACGGCCCGTTCTCGTCAGATCCCGGAAGCTAAGCGGGGTCAGTTCTTGGATGGGAGACCTCCAGGGAAGGCTCTGCAGAGGGAAGCAATGGCAAAACCACCTCTGCTCCTCGCTTGCCTTGAGAGCCCCTTGCTGGCGTCGCCAGAAGTCAGTTGCAGCTTCACAGCACTTCACACACAGAGACATAAAACCTTTATTGGCATGAAAGCGCAAAACATCATGGAAATACGGGGAAATACTAAGATGCATCAGTCACCGACACTTGGCTCTCCAAGCCTCGTCTTCTGATTGCATAATATAAAAATTTTGCAACAGCCTCCATTATTTCGCAATTAGAATTGAACAGAAAAAGTGAACAATTGAGTCGAGTGCCAGCTCTTATCCTCTAGCAGGGCTATTTTTGGGCAGGAACGCACAGGAGCAGAGTTCCGGCTGGCTTCAGAGTTGGCCATGCCCACTACAGCCAAAACCTCTGCGTGCGTGGCTACAGAGGGAAGGCCTGGAGAGCGACCCCATTGGCGACTCCGAGGTGGGTGGGTCAGGGGAGCCCCTGGAAGGATTGGGGAAGCATTTAAATGCCTCCCCGTGCCTTCCCCGGCCTGTCCAAGGGCGCAGTTTAAACTGCCTTCCCTTCAAGGGGGGGCTTGCCCGGACGCCCCACAGCTGCGGGGCGCCCAGGCAAGCCAAGGGAAGGCACGGAGTGTGGCCTAATATGCTAATGAGCTATGCTGTCAGGGGTGTGGCCTAATGTGCTAATGGGTGTCTGCTGTTGGGTGTGGCCTATTATGCTAATGAGTTCCTGCTGGGCTTTTTCTACAAAAAAAGCCCTGCCCTCTAGAAGTGGAGTAATAAAACGAGATCGGACATCCCTATAGAGGGGGCAATGAAGTATGGTGTGTGTGGTGGATTCTCTATCTTTTAGAGAGCCCTAAGGACAAAGTCTGTCTGCATATGGTACCTGGCGGTACCTCCCTAAAAACACCTCTGATGGCAGAACATGAAAGCGTGCAAGCAGCATGTATGCTCTGTGATGATGTGGGGCTGTTAAACTTGACAGATACTTCGCAGTAGAGCCCATGTCAAAAGTCCCCAACCTCCTTGGGGAGCATCTGCTGGCTGCGCGTTCCCTAAGTTCTTGCCTTTCGATGTCGAGAAATCTTTGTTTAATAATAGCATAGGCTTGTTTCTCTGAAAAGGGGGCGAAATAATCCGGGGATATTCCCATTGTAGAGAGTTTTTCTTCCTTCACAGCACTTACATATGTAATATTTCCTCTGCACTGGTATAGTAGAGATGGGACTATAAAGATGTTCCCCTTTTTTGATTATTCATATTTCTCTGGTTTTTATAGATTTATTCTTAAGTAATATTTTATTAGGATGTTAGAAAGGGCTGTTCTATAGAAGGCTTTCCTCTTGTAGGTCTGATATTGCTAGCAGACAACATAATAGGTACAAAGTTCATGATTCTGTAGTTCTTAAGAGCAAAACGTTGCAATGTCTGGGTCAGAGACGATTTTAGTCTTGTATCAGTAAAAATACTTGCCTATTATCATTCAGGTTAGGTTAAGTGAACACTTAGGTTTTACGTAGATTTCTCGTAGATATATGTTTCTTTACATCTGACAAATCAGAGTCTTATTACTCAAATGACCATTGTCTTTTATAACCAATTATGCTTTTTGAATATTGTTTTCTTGATGATGTCAGTCCATGAATATGTTCAAGAAGAAGAAGATGAAGAAGAAAGTTGTCAATTTTTGATTAGTTATTTGGTCCAATTTTTCTTCCTGTTAATTGAAGCATATTCCCTGAATATGCTGAGAAGAAAGTAGTCAATTTTGGATGGACTATTTGGTCCAACTGTTTTCTTGTTAATTAAAATAAAACATAGATCTTCCTCCTCATTTGACTTCATTTTTGACATGGAATCTAATATGTACAACACTGGAACGGCGTCTGCATCCCAGCTATTGCAGCGCTTCTACTTTCTGTAGGGTTTTTTCCCCTGCTTTTGACCCTCGCAGTCTGTCGAAGAGGAAACGAAAGGGCAGAGGACGCGCTCTCCCTCAAGGAAACTCTTATCTGGGCACACTGAATTAATTAATGCGGCATCCTGTTGAAGAAGGAAGCCTGTTCTATTTCAACAAAGCCTTTTTTTTTTTAAATTCTCTCCATAACTGGCTGTTGGTCTTGCCGGTAATTTAAAAGGTCACGGGTTCAAATCCCAAACAGGCAGCGGAAATTGAATTGTCTTTCCCGATATTGTCGATGCAGCCCTGCATATTATTTGTGAGCATCGGACATCATCATACCCCGTGTCTGCCGCCTGTGTTTACTGTGACAACAACAGAAAGAAAGGAGACTCACAGGGACTTCGGAGGTAGAAGAAGAAGAAGAGAAGATATTGGATTTATACCCCGCCCTTCACTACCCAAAGGAGTCTCAGAGCGGCTTACAAACTCCTTTCCCTCCCCCTCCCCACGACAGACACCCTATGAGGTGGGTGGGGCTGAGAGAGCTCTTGACAGAAACGGCTCTTTTTTCAAGAACAGCTCTTATCAGAACGACAGCTTGCCCAAGGTCATCCAGCAGGTGCAAGTGGAGGAGTGGGGAATCAAACCCGGTTCTCCCAGATTAGAGTCCGCGCACTTATCCACTACACCAAACTGGCTACACCAAGCAGGTAATATTTCAGCTTTGTTCTTTTCGGTGCACACACACACTCGCCTTCCTTTCTGTACTCTGGTTGAATGGAGGATAAACTATACCCAGGCATTAGAAGCGATAACACAAACACTGCAAGCCAACACGGGTTTAGATGTCCTTCAGCAATGGATTTATGGTGCCTAACTCTAGGTTGAAAGCTCACAATCTATCATGCTTGAGTAGACCTTTTGGTAAAAGCACATCAGTCTTAGTACTCTGTGGCAAAAAGAGACAGGCGGACATGCCGCCCTCTCTCATCGATTTGGAGCTCTCCACCTGGCCATTGTGTGACTCCTGGGTTTGAGACCCAGTCAGGAGGCTGACCTTTCAGAACTGTGGCCGGCTAACCCAGCCACTAAGCCTCCAGACAGCTGTTAGAAACTTGAGTGCATAATATATCCGAGAGACCCAGCCGAATTGCCTCTAGCACAGTGGAAAGTCTCTCCAATATGGGCAGAAAGCGTCTCTTTGGCAAGGGAGACCTTGGTCCTTCAGGTGCTCACAGCAAGCGCATGCCACCTTTTCACCAGCTCCTTTGGCTTGCTGACCATCTCATTCCAGTGTTCCAGTTCCTTGCCCCTGGTGTACATGAAGGGCCCGACTACCACACGGCCCAGGGAGCAGGTTTCTAGATGGAAGTGAGGAAATAGCACGATTAGAAGTCAACAGTCATGTTGCTGCCAACTGGCACACCCAAGTACCATTTGTACATGACGAGGTGGTCAACGCTGCCATCCTAAGTACACCCTTCTAAGCCCATTGACCAGCCAGCACCAACAACACACATAATAGTTTCCATCCCTTCTTAACACTCTCTCTAGGTAAAGGTAAAGGTTTCCCTTTGCTCGAAAGCTGGTCATATCCAACTCTAGGGGGCGGTGCTCATCTCCGTTTCCAAGCCGAAGAGCCAGCGCTGTCGAAAGACATTTCCGTGGTCATGTGGCCGGCATGATTAAGTGCCGAGGTGCACGGAACGCTGTTACCTTCCCACCAAAGTGGTACCCAGGGCTATTTTGGGGCAGGAACACACAGGAACGGAGTTCCGGCTGGCTCCCAAGTTGACCACGCCCAGCAGGAACTCATTAGCATAATAGGCCACACCCAAGAGCAGAAACTCATTAGGATTGGCTACATTAGGGGTGTGTGGCCTAACATGCAAAGGAGTTCCTGCTACAAAAAAAGCCCTTTTGACAACAAACAAGGTAAACAGAATAACAAGCAAAAGGTGGGTGTGGCTGGATTACCACACTTCTGGTAACATGGGGGGTGCGGCCTAATGTGGTAATGAGCTGTGCTGTCAGGGGTGTGGCCTAATATGCTAATGAGTTCCTGCTGTTGGATGTGGCCTATTATGCTAATGAGTTCCTGCTGGGCTTTTTCCACAAAAAGAGCCCTGGCGATACCTATTTATCTACTTGCAATTTCTTGCTTTTGAACTGCTAGGTTAGCAGGAGCTGGGGCCAGAGACGGGAGCTCACTCCGTCGTGTGGCACTCGGGTCTCGAACTGCTGAACTACAGGCCTTCTGACCTGCAGCTCTGCATCTTGACCTCTGAGCTGTATCCCACCCTCAGTTTTCCCAGTATACCATCCCTGGTTAAGAAGCTGCCTCCTCCAGCCCAATACACCACGATACTCAAAAGACCATTGGTTTCAAGTTGCACCTTACCATTTTCCTCACCATTCTGGATCACAGACAGACTTAAGCTTGCTGTGTCCAGCTCCGTCTGGTCAACCTTAAAGCTGAACGTCTCGTTGTACAACAGATCAGGGGATCCTAGGACGGCCGAAGTCCTCTTGCTTTTGATGAACTGATTATGGTTCATGAGCGACACTTTGACAAACACACCTGGAAGAAAAAGGTAAGACTGAAAATCTATCCAAATGGGTTGGAAGGATTCAGTAGAAAACATGTTGTTTTCATTTTGGTTTGCTTTTAAAAAAAATCAAGCGCTTTCCAGGAGATGGACCATGCTGCACGTTTGTTACTGTTGAGCACAGCCTCCATTATCTGAACTGCCAAATCACAAGCCCAGACAAATGTGTGTGCGGTTTTCACAAAAGCTGACACTGATCTAGTTGACGGAGCTGAAATATATGGTCACAAGCAGTGTTCCCTCTAAGCTGAGTTAGTGTGAGCTAGCTCACAATTTTTCTGCCTCTGGCTCACACATTTTTGTCTCGGCTCAGGAAGGAGGGCTCCAGAGCAAACTAGTTTATCCAGCAGCCAATGTTCCCTCTAAGCTGTGGAGTCTTGTGAGCGAAAATTCTACTTTTTGAGCCACTGGCATTAAAGTTGTGAGCGAGCGATTTGGCTGCTGCATAAATTAGTTTGCTCTGGGGCCATCCTCCCTGAGCTAAGACAAAAATGGGTGAGCCGGAGGCTAAAAAACTGTGAGCTAGCTCACACTAACTCAGCTTAGAGGGAACACTGCCAGCAGCCAAATGGCTTGCTCACCGCTTTAATGCCAGTAGCTCACAAAGTAGAATTTTTGCTCACAAGACTCCACAGCTTAGAGGGAGCATTGGTCACAAGTACTCATCACCCATTTTAGCCTGTTCTGTCGCTCAGACTTTAAATATGAAATTTCAGATTCAGACGTGCGTGAATACTAATTTGGGGATGCTTCAAGATTCACATGCGTCTCTTGATAGTTTTGGGCACATGTGTCACATAGGAAATCTCATGAGTTGCTAGCCACCCTATACTGCCAGATGACTGGATCTCATTGCATGTTCACGATCAAACATATGAAGGGCATGATGGGAAGAAAGGCGGCATGGCATGGCCCTCATCAACACATGAAACTGCCTTCTACTGAATCAGACCCTCGGTCCATCAAAGTCAGCATTGTCTACTCAGGCCCCGGTCACACAGGCCGGATATCGCAGGGGGAGGCGTGGCTAAATGCCCCGGAGGAAACTAACCCGTAGCCGCCCGAGCACATGTCCCGGTCGGGGTCCCATGGTTCGGGGGAAATGCCGATCAGACGGGTATCCTGTAGCGCAGAACAGAAGCCGTGCGATCGCACTGGCAATCGCTTTTTGTGCGCATGCGCTGTTGGGCGCTGTTGCGCAACCTGCGGAGACGAACAGCGGCGGGCGCCGGATGCCTCGTAAGTCCACCGGGAACGCAATCAGATGCCCGCCCTTGGCCCGCGGTTTCAGGAAACTAGTACCTCGTAGGTACTAGTTTTTAACTCCACACCTTCGGCGGGGAGCCACGGGTTCACCACGGGAGCACTGCGCTTCCCAGATGTTGGGGTGAGATTGCGCCTGGAAAATCCACGGGACTCCCGTGCCTCTCCCGCAGCAATTTTGCCGTGTGACCGGGGCCTCAGTCTAGCGGGAGCTCTCCAAGGTTTCAGGCAGAGGTCTTTCTCATCACCGGCTGCCTGGTCCTTTTAACTGGATATATCAGGGATTGAACCTGGGACCTTTTGTATGCCATGCAGATGGTCTACCACGGAGCCATAACCCAATCTTGTCACCTCTCGAAAGCTCAGTAGGGTCAGCACTCGGAAGGAAGACCACCAAGGGAGACTCTGAAGAGAAGGGCGACGACAAACAAATTCTGCTTCTCACTTGCCTTGCTGGGGTCGCCATAAGTTGGCTGTGACCAATGTTCCCTCTAAGCTGTGGAATCTTCTGAGCAAAAATTCTACTTTGTGAGCTCCTGGCATTAAAGCTGTGAGCAAGCCATTTGGCTGCTGCATAAATTAGTTTGCTCTGGAGCCCTCCTTCCTGAGCAAAGACAAAAATGTGTGAGCTGGAGGCTAAAAAACTGTGGGCTAGCTCACACTAACTCAGCTTAGAGGGAACACTGGCTGTGACCTGATGGCACTTTACACACACACACACGAAGGGGATGACCAAGCCCCACTTTGGGCGAGGCACCCAAATATAGAGAATTCCCACAGGAACATACCAGGCCATTGCCGGAATGGGAGGTCTTGTCAGCTATGCAGCTGCCATGGTTGGGATGGGGGACGGTGGGATGCTGGATGAATTGCCTCTGTCTCTGCCTGCCTTGGTATGTTAGGTTTCGATTCTCCTCGCTCCCTTATCGCCCTGCAGTCTCGACCTGTGACCTTGGTACCTTGTTGCTCTCTTCCCTGGGAACGCTTGGCCAGTTAGCTTAGGCAGGCTTTGCATGTATTCTGATTGGCCCTGGGCCATCCCCTGATGCCTTTGAATACTGTAGATTATCTTGCTACATGGGCTTCCCCATTATCCTGACACTAAATGTATGCATAGATGACTTGCCTTTATAGCAAGTCATCTATAGCATAGGGAAGGGCAATCAGAATGATAAAAGGGTTGGAACACTTTCCCTATGAAGAAAGGTTAAAATGCCTGGGGCTCTTTAGCTTGGAGAAACGATGGCTGAGGGGTGAACATCAAGGTTTATAAGATTATGCATGGGATAGAGCAGGTAGAGAAAGAGGTACTTTTCTCCCTCTCTCACAATACAAGAACTCGTGGGCACTCCATGAAATTGCTGAGCGGTCGGGTTAGAACGGATAAAAGGAAGTACTTCTTCACCCAAAGAGTGATTAACACATGGAATTCACTGCCACAGGAAGTGGTGGCAGCTACAAGCATGGACAGCTTCAAAAGGGAATTAGATAAGCATATGGAACAGAGGTCCATCAGTGGCTATTAGCCACAAGGTATAGATAGGGGCTCTGGGGCAAGTGATGCTCTGTCTTCTTGGTGCTTGGGGGGGAGGCCAACAGTGGGAGGGCTTCTAATGTCCTGGCCCCACTGGTGGAGCTCCTGATGGCACCTGATATTTCTGGCCACTATGTGACACAGAGTGTTGGACTGGATGGGCCTTTGGCCTGATCCAACATTGGCGTCTCTTATGTTCTTATAGCCTCTAATAAACTTTACTCTTTGGAAAGAAAGTTGTGGAGGACTAATTGCTGCAGGACTCTGACAGGTCTGTGCTCCAGAGCACACAGAACTCAAATTGTGCAGGGAGGGAGGGTTGGAAACTAGTAGGGAAGGTGCACATGGCTCTCCTGTTCCTTGAGGCAGCCAAGGGCATTGCCTAACACACCTGATGGGGAGGATGGCCAGTGTCCTAAATATCACTGTTTTGGATCCTATGGAAGGTATATTTTATTTATTTATTTTGAGATTTATATCCCGCCCTTCCAAGCGGCTCAGGGCGGCTAACAAGCGGCTAATGCCGGATTAAATAGATAAAATACAACAAAACAATATTACATATCCATGATAAAATTCATAACAATATTTAAGGTGCTCTAGTATCCTGAATATAAATCCCCAAGATGGGCAGTAATCCCCCAAATCGACGGCCAGCTTTATTAAATAGCGAGGGCTCCAGAAGTGATGTTCTCCCCACTTCCGCCAGGCGACACATACCCCTCCCCTCATAATAGGGGTAGATGATGGAATAGTACCACGATGGTGGAAGAGTGGCGGCGGCAGCTCTTACTCAAAAGCCTGGCGGAAGAGCTCCGTCTGCCAGGCAATGTTCCCTGTAAGCTGTGGAGTCCTGTGAGCAAAAATTCTACTTTGTGAGCTGCTGGCATTAAAGTTGTGAGCGAGCAATTTGGCTACTGCATAAATGAGTTTGCTCTGGAGCCATCTTTCCTGAGCTAAGAGGAAAATGTGACAGCCGGAGGCTAAAAAACCTGTGAGCTAGCTCACACTAACTCAGCTTAGAGGGAACACTGGGCAGGCCCTGCGGAATTGCATAAGGTGACCAAAGTACGATTGCCTAAGTTTAGTCATTTTAGTTTCTAGTGAGAGTTCATGCAAAAACAAAACAAAAAACCAGCCAACAACTTTTTGAAAACGTTGCTCAAAAACATGACGTATCTTTAAATTTCCTCCAACACTTACCGGCAGCCTGTCTGTCATTCTGGAATCTCAGGCCTCTGGCTCTCAGGACCACCACTGTGAGGCGGCCCAGATATTCATTATAGCTGAGAGAAAACTGGATGTCGCCATGCTCGGAAGGAGGCTTTATGTGGAGAAGAATGTTGGTCAGTAGCTTTGTAAAAATGTTACTCCATCAAATCCACAGTCCTTCTCTTCGGGACAATCCCTTTGAGACTTTGGTTGTATACGGCAGAACCAATGATATTCCAAAACAGGCAATATATCTGCTTTCCACATTGGGCACTCTGAGACGGTGGAATGGATCCTACCACTCCAGTGAGCATGTAGAAGAAGAGGAGGAGGAGGTTGGATTTATACCCCGCCCTTCACTCGGGAGTCTCAGAGCGGCTCACAAACTCCTTTCCCTTCCCCTCCCCACAACAGACACCCTGTGAGGTAGCTGGGGCTGAGAGAGCTCTGAAAGAGCTGTCCTTGAGAGAACAGCCCTGACAGAACTACGGCTTGCCCAAGGTCATCCAGCAGGTGCAAGTGGAGGAGTGGGGAATCAAACCTGGTTCTCCCAGATTAGAGTCTGCACGCTTAACCACTACACCAATGGAGTAGCCACTTGAGTTGGAAGAAGGCACCTTAGACTGCTTAAAGGCTTCCAACGTTGCTCATCAGCGTACCAGAATAAGAGAAGCAGAATAAGAGAAGTTGAGCATCCATGCATTCATGGAGTGGATGGGGTTTGTGTCAGATCCACACGAGTTTTGGATGTGCATCAGGATATTGTTCCGCATGCAGTCCGCACAAGGGGTTCACAATCCACCTAAGGATTCCACAAACTCGCACTGGAATGTGTTTGACATTCAGACTTAGCACGCCTGACTGTGAAAATCAGATGTGGACCTATCGCCAGGTCTGTTCTGGGACCAAATTACTCGAATGCCCACAGAAACAGTTTGCTTTCTACAAATCTACGTAAATGTCGATCTAATCCGATTGACAGCTAATCTAATCAGATCGGCAGCCGTTAACGTCACTAAGGAGTAATTAGGAAAGACCGAACAGTGGGATATTTTTTTCCCTTTAAAAAACACAGCATACATTTATGATTGATTTGCACAATTTGTACAATTCCTGATTGATTCAACTGTCTAATTAAACGACTGCCTGCTGAGCGGACCGCCAGAGCAGGGAGACCAGGAGGGGCAGAAGTCGACGTGCATGTATGAAAAGCCGGTCACACCGTACTGCAGTGGTAGAAAGGAGGAGGGTGAAATGGCCTGCCAAAAAAGCACAGCTGGGTCGACGGACAGATGAGGAGCCCAGCGGAAAACCAGCTGCCTGTTGCAACCGGCCAACAGATCATGAGCCGAACTGTTACATAAGAACATAAGAGAAGCCAATGTTGGATCAGGCCAATGGCCCATCTAGTCCAACACTCGGTCACATGGTGGCCAGAAATACCAGGTGCCATCAGGAGGTCCAGCAGAGGGGCCAGGACACTAGAAGCACTCCCACTGTTGACCCCCCCGAGCACCAAGATGACAGAGCATCACTTGCCCCAGAGTCCCTATATATACCTTGTGGCTAATAGCCACTGATGGACCACTGCTCCATATGCTTATCTCATTCCCTTTTGAAGCCGTCCATGCTTGTAGCTGCCACCACTTCCTGTGGCAGTGAATTCCAAGTGTTAATCACTCTTTGGGTGAAGGACTTCCTTTTATCCGTTCTAACCCGACTGCTCAGCAATTTCATGGAGTGCCCTCAAGTCCTTGTATTGTGAGAAAGGGAGAAAAGTATCTCTTTCTCGACCTGCTCTATCCTATGCATAATTTTATAAACCTCGATCCTGTCACCCCTCAGCCGTCGTTTCTCCAAGCTAAAGAGCCCCAGGCATTTTAAGCTTTCTTCACAGGGAAAGTGTCCCAACCCTTTTATCATTCTAATTGCCCTTTCCTGCACTTTCCCCAATGCTATCATATCCTTTTTGAGGTGTGGTGACCAGAACTGTACACAGTACTCCAAATGAGGTCACAACTGAGCATCCCTAGATCCAATGACAGAATTAGCATGCAGAAGCTGCGTCGGTGGGCAGATCTATCCGACTTTGCCTGGTTTTCTTGCCCTCCACCCTGAAGACCAAACAAATGTGCATTTGCTCCATTCGCCATCTTTCAACTGCCCTCCCGTTGTCTCAGCACTACTAATAAGGGTCTCCTCGGCCCACAATAGCACGATATTTGTTAAAACGCAGATTTGTTAAAACAGATGGGCTCTACCCCCTAGTCTCTGGTCTGGGAGGAGTCCTGTCCAGGTTACTGCTTTTCACGCACCTCCAACTCACCCCACTGATCAAATTTGTTGAGTGTATTCATGTCAAGACCAGTGTTCCCTTTAAGCTGAGGCGTAATCTTCGTGGGGGCGGTGGGGCATCAGCCCCCGCCCATTTTTGTCTTAGCTCAGGAAGGATGGCTCCAGAGCAAACTAGTTGACGCAGCAGCCAAGCCACTCGCTCACAGCTTTAATACCAGTAGCTCACCAAGTAGAATTTTTGCTCACCAGACTCCACAACTTAGAGGGAACATTGGTCAAGACTGGTTGTCTGGAAGTGAGGCAGGAAGCAGCTCAGAAGGGAAGAGAAAATGCTCATTGGTAGGTTCCGGACAGGCTGAACTTTAGCTGGATCAGCTTACCCCCGTGCCGACCTATTCAATGTCTGTATTCTGAACTGTACCCTGCGCCCACCAGAATAACACAACCACAAGGAACAGATTACTCTGTGACTTACTGTCCTAATCACACTTTCCAAATACCTTTTTTCTTTTTTGTACATGTTCCCCATACTAAACTATACATTATGTGAGTTTGGTTGCTTTTAGTCCACCTTTGTCCTACGTTGCCTCTTGGATTCTCTTGGACTCCACCACCCACTGGCAAGGTGGGAGAGCTCTGGCTCTCCCTGGCATTTCTCTAATGAACGTAACCTTTAATTAGTGGCCTACCTCCAGGGTTTCTGCTTCCAGGTCTCTCCAGAGGACAACTTTGTGGTCTCCGCTCAAGGTTTCGTTTTTTAGAGGGAACATCACTTGGCCTAAGAGAATGTGCTTCTTTTGTTTGTCCACGTGGTAGACACAAAACTTCAGCGTCCTCTGGTGTAAGGTGTTACTGGAAACCTGGATAAGAGCAAGCAGAATGTTGCAAGTGGAAACGAAATGATTTTCTAAACACCGATTTTTGGGGAAAGGTTGCCACACTGGAACTGTGCACCTCCAGAAGAGGGTGCATGCCGCTCCTATATCACTGCTTGGGGCAAAAATTCCTTCTAGTCCGAAGGCAAGAGTAGAAACTCATGCAGAAGCCATACTTACTCTTAATGCACTTTAAAATTAAGCCAAATTTTAGTTGACAAACAAAAAACCCAGGGTCAAAAAGAGGTAGCCTTCATGAATGCACTGTTGAAGGAAGAGCTGGGTTTCGTTTTTTAGAGGGAACATCACTTGGCCTAAGAGAATGTGCTTCTTTTGTTTGTCCACGTGGTAGACACAAAACTTCAGCGTCCTCTGGTGTAAGGTGTTACTGGAAACCTGGATAAGAGCAAGCAGAATGTTGCAAGTTAAAACTAAATGATTTTCCAAACATCGGTTTTTGGGGAACGGTTGCCACACTGGAACTGTGCACCTCCAGAAGAGGGTGCACGCCGCTCCTATATACAAGTCACTGCTTGGGGCAAAAATTCCTTGTAGTCTGAAGGCAACAGTAGAAACTCATGCAGAAGCCATATTTACTCTTAATGCACTTAAAAATTAAGCCTAATTTCAGTTGACAAACAAAAAACTCAGGGCCAAAAAGAGGTAGCCTTCATGAATGCACTCTTGAAGGAAGAGCTATTTGGAAAGAGCTATTTGGAGCAGGGAAATGGTAGGCAGGGAAAGGGTTAAGTGCCACCTTCTCCAGTCACTTCTCTTCTCCCACCCACCCCCTCCTAAAGTAGTTCTTTGCTTGCCAAAAAACAAAAGGGTCACCAGGCTTCCATTGCACACATTTGCCCATTAAGTTGTTGTCAAAGGCAACATCTGGTGTACGAAGAAGAGAAGAGAAGAAGAGATTGGATTTATACCCCACCCTTCGCTGCCCAAGGGAGTCTCAGAGCGGCTTACAAACTCCTTTCCCTTCCCCACCCCACAACAGACACCCTGTGAGGTAGGTGGGGCCGAGAGAGCTCTGGCAGAAACTGCTCTTTTTCAAGAACAGCTCTGACAGAACTACGGCTTGCCCAAGGTCATCCAGCAGCTGTAAGTGGAGGAGTGGGGAATCAAACCCGGTTCTCCCAGATTAGAGTCCGCACACTTAACCACCACACCAAACTGGCTCTCAGTAAGAAGACCCTGAGGGGGGTCAGCAAGAAGACAATTAGATAGGACAGTGAGGAGAGCGCCTTCTCTCTCCTGTTAAGTATCTCTCCTTGTCTGTCTCGACATTGCCACTCTTAGGGCAGTTTCCCCCTTTTTCTCCGAAGTGCCACACCCAGTCTTACCCTCTTTCTCAGCTACAGATATAGTTAGGAACCTATCTCTCTCTCTCCCAGGGCTATTTTTGGGCAGGAACGCACAGGAACGGAGTTCCGGCTGGCTCCTGAGTTGGCCACGCCCAGCAGGAACTCATTAGCATAATAGGCCACACCCAACAGCAGAAACTCATTCGGATTGGCTACATTAGGGGTGTGTGGCCTAACATGCAAAGGAGTTCCTGCTACAAAAAAGCCCTGGGTTTTGACAACAAACAAGGTAAACGGAATAAGAAGCAAAAGGTGGGTGTGGCTGGATAACCACACTTCTGGTAACATGTGGGTGCGGCCTATTATGCTAATGTTTCTGCTACTGGGTGTGGCCTATTATGCTAATGAGTTCCTGCTAGGCTTTTTCTACAAAAAAAAGCCCTGCTCTCTCCTCTTCTCTATTGAGCATGTTAATTCCTAAATAAACCTTTTTTGTTGTTCAGTCGCACAGTCGAGTCCGACTCTTTGCGACCCCATGGACCAGATCACGCCAGGCCTTCCGGTCTTCCGCCGTCCTCTGAAGTTTGCTCAATTTCATGTCCGTTGCTTCTATGACCTTCATCTACTCTTTAATCAGGTTGTGCATCACTGCTGTGTTAATTACCCTGCCAACACAAGGTCTCATGTGACTTCCAGCTGTCGGATGCTCAGGGAACATCTACCACATCACACCCACTCTGCAACCCAACGCAAGAAAAGATTACCTGGAAAACAAAATCCTCATCAAACTGCGGATTGAGAGTTTTGCGCTTGATCTTCGACTGTAAATAGCGCCTTTCGTCTGGCAGCAGGTAGATTTTCACAAAGGGGCAACAGGAGGCAGAAGGGGGCTGCAGCTTCCGGGCTTTGATCAGGGAGACGAGGAGCTTTTCTGACTCCGGCTCATACTCGACGGAGAACCACAGCCGGCCGATGCAGCCCTCGGGGAAGTCTGTCTCACTTTTGTCCTCGGGAAACTTATACAGCTCCGGGTTGAGGGCTCCTACCTGGTATGCTCCAGCTTCACAACAAGGAAGAAATCAACACGGTTGAGTAACCCAATGCACAAAATGTACTAGGGAGAGAGAGAGAGAGAGATGCACAAAGAGAGAAAGGGAAGTTCTTGTTGGAGTGCGCAACTCATCATGCCTGGATATTGGGGGGGTACAACACTCTAAGGGTCACGTCACACAGACATTTAATGCGGGCTTCGCTGCTGATCCCTCGCGCATTAAAGTTTCCTGTTCATATTGGCAAACCCGCCTCCCGCACCGAAGCGGGCTGAGTCCCGCGGTTTTCGCTTTTTTTATCCGTGTTTTCTGACAGCTGTTGGAACAGGTGTTTTTCCGATATCTCGTGCTTTGTATCTGCGGTTTTGGTATCTGGACAGCAATCCGCCGTGACCGCGCTACCCTCCCCCCCTTTTTTGTGTGTTTCCGGTTTAAGTTATGCGCATGTGCAAACAGGCGCTAGCTTTTATTTTGGTCTTTTTAGTTTGTATGTACGCCCAAGCGGATGTTTAACCCCGTTTTCTTTCTCGTTTTCCTTTACGTCTTCGATCACGTGTATTGACAGTTTGGTAACGCCGATGTTGCTTGTTCAAGCCGTAATTCGCCCATGTGCATGGGAAGACAAGCGCATGCGCAGGGTTTTTTTAAAAAAAAACCGCGCCATGGCGCTGTGTGATCAGTACTTCACGCGAGTGAAGCGGAAGACAGAGGGACCATCTGACCACCTCCAAGCGATAAAAAATGTCGCGGATAGAAGAACTGCGGGAAAACTAGCACGGTAAGAGGTCCGTGTGACCGCGGCCTAAGTGTGCAGAGGTGTTATCTCCTTGAATGGGATCCCTCTCTTTGTCTTAACCTGGAAGCTGCCTTCTGACCCCTCCTCTCTCTCCCCCCTTTGTCTTCTCACTCTCTTCACATGCCCTTCCACGGAGACACATGTCTCTGAAGGTCTCTTCCATAGAGACAATGCCCTCATACTCCTACACACATGATGCCGGACAAGCTAGCCAGTGTTCCCTCTAAGCTGAGTTAGTGTGAGCTAGCTCACAGTTTTTTAGCCTCCAGCTCACACACATTTTTTGTCTCCACTCAGGAAGGATGGCTCCAGGGCAAATTCATGCAGTCGCCAAATCGCTCACTCACAACTTTAATGCCAGGAGCTCACAAAGTAGAATTTTTGCTCGCAAGACTCCACAGCTTAGAGGGAGCATTGAAGCTGGCCATTTGTGATAGGGAAGGGACCCTTTAGATTCGGCCTCTCTCTCTCTCTCTCTTCCCTTTCGACTGCAACCTAAATGTGAACTGGATCTTCTACTTGAATAAATGCAAGTGTTTACCTTTTGCAATATACTTCTTGGGAGTTTTATTTACTGCACTCAGAATCACACTTCTGTGACTGGGCAAAACTCTGCTGTGTTAACCAAATATCCCAGGAGTTCTCTGGGCTCCCAATGGAAGCTCACTGGGTGACTTTGGACCCATCCCATTCTTTCAATCTAACCTACCTCTTAAGGTCGTTGTGAGAGGATTGGGTGGAAGAGAGAGAAGACAACCGTGAGAAGCCACTTTGGGTCCCCACGAGGGAGATAAGTGCAATTGTACCTAAAAGTGTACATCAATGAAACTGATTGGCGGCTGGAATATTTCTGAGCTATTTCACGCAGACATGTATTTATCGTTTGATGGTGGCAGTGGAGAATTGCATGTGTGAATGGGCAACAAGGGCTCTCTTCTGGAGAGAACCTTCACGTCACCTTCTATTGCACCATAAACACAATACTGATCAGTGGAACCCATTCAGACTATTAACTGAGGGTTGTCAAGAACAGGATCATAGAATCACAGAACCATAGAATCAAAGAAGTTACCTCCAGGGTCATCTAGTCCAACCTCCTGCACAATGCAGGAAATTCGCAAATATCTCCCCCTCCACACAACCCCAGTGACCACTGTTCCATGGCCAGAAGATGGGGGGGGACCCTCCAGGATCCCTGGCCAAACTGGCCTGGTGAAAAACTGCTTCCTGACCTCAAAGTGGTGATCAGCATTTCCTTGGGCATATAAGAAAGGGCCACAAGAACTAAGCACTGAGGCAACCCTTCCTGCCCTCCCTCTCATGATCTGCCTAAGTTCATATCAGCATTGCTGTCAGATGGCCATCTTTAGGTGATGCACATACACATGGAACTCCAGGCCCACTGGCAAAATAATTTGCTGCACTGTAGGTACTGTTAGCAGAGCTAGAAAACCAAACAAATCCTACACCCCTGAGTTAGATTATATAAAGTTTACTGCAAGAATTGCAAAATAATAGTAATGATGATGATGATGATTAGTAGTAGTAGTAATAGTAGTAGTATAGGCATTCCAGTAGCAGAGAACAACGTTCAGGATATACCTTCATTTACAGGCAGTGAAGTAGCACAGCATGACAAGACAAGCACGTATCAAGCTCTGAACAGCTGAGATCATAAATCACAGCACCTCCTAGAGTTCCAGTGGACTAACCACACCCTGTGTCCTTTACATGACTAGAAGTGCTGATGTGCCATTGCACCTCCAACAGGTACACCTCTTCAGCTTAAAAACAGAAGCAGAAAAGCAGGCACTTTCCCTGGAGAGAAAAATTGAGCCTTTTCTTCTAAAACGTTCCTCATACTAACATTGTAAATACATCTGAGCAGCCTTCACAGCCTCCAGTCAATCCCACAGATGACCCATCTGCAGTCCTGCCAAACTGTGGACTATCGGAAGCAGGGGCCATTTCCTGCGGGAGCGCACAGGAGCGGAGCTCCGGCAGTAAGAAGCCCAGGGGGTGGGCACATGCAACAAGCCCCGCCCCCTGCTCCCAGCAGCCCTCAGTCAGGTCACAAGGAGCAAGAAGCAGCCAGGTAAATTGCGTGCCCGCCTTCAGATACAAGCTCTCCCTCCTCTGTGAGGGGAGATCTGTGTATTCCCCCCCCCAGCTAGCAATCCAAAACAGTCCAGTGGAGCCTGAGCGGTGGGTGTTGCCTTCTGACACACTTCCGGTGATGTCAGGGGGTGTGGCGTATGCAAATAAGTTATGCTAATAAGCAGGGGTCATTTCGTAGAAAAATAGGTGCAGGAGCTCATTAGCATAACTTTTTAGCACAACTTATTTGCATATGCCACCCCCCCCTGAAATCACCAGAAGTGTGTCAGAAGGCAACACCCACCGCTCAGGCTCCACTGGACTGTTTTGGATTGCTAGCTATTGAGGGGGGGGGGAACGTGCAGATCTGTCATCACAGAGGAGGAAGAGCTTGTACCTGAATAAAACTTGGTCTTAAATGTGCCACTGGACTGTTTTGGATTGCTAGCTATGGGGGGGGGGGGAACACGCAGATCTGCCCTCACAGAGGAAGGAGAGCTTGTACCTGAAGGCGGGATGGGGGGGGCTCTGCAACTTACCTGGCTGCTTCTTGCTCCTTGTGGCCCGACTGAGGGCTGCTGGGAGCAGGGGGTGGGGCTTGTTGCGTGTGCCCACCCCCTGGGCTCCTTACTGCCGGAGCTCCGCTCCTGTGCGCTCCCGCAGGAAATGACCCCTGCTAATAAGTTATGCTAATGAGCTCCTGCACCTCTTTTTCTACGAAATGACCCCTGATCGGAAGGCAGAGGACTTGGGACTGCACGTGGAATGATAACTGAAGGTCTTAAAAGCAACGCCTACTATGCAATCCAATGCAGACTGACCCCACTCTAAATATATTGGTTTCAATGGGCTTAAACGGGAGTAACTCATGGGGTTGCACTGTTAGGGTTCCCAGACTCTACTCAATGCTGGAAACCCAACGTGACCAAGAAAAGGAAGCACCAACCTCCTTTTCTATACATACAATGCATGGAAGAGTGCCTAAAATAATACATGATTGTCAATACAACACACAGTCCGGTTCCTAAAAGGTTTTACCCATCTGATCAGTGTCAACCTACCTAAGGAATGGAAAGAAGATCGGGGGCCCGAGTCAGGGGTCACGTACGGATCGCTGTCATCTTGAATTTGCTCTCCGTTTGTCATGTCAATCCAAGCTTGCTTATGAAATTTCGGTGGGACGATAAAAGGGACACTTCTCATTCTTCCAGACACAGCCACGGTTTTTCAGTTGGATTCGGAACAGAAAAAGAAGAAGCCACTGTGAATTTCTTTGGGAATTAAGTAAGCTGAAACTGGGCACTTTGAAGTTCCATTTAATTCAACAGGAGAAATTTACAGTGCAAGGGTGCTGTCCTGTAAAATATATATTTTTATCCCACCTTGCACAATACAGGATGGTAACTGTTCCTTAAATAGGTAAAGGTAAAGGTTCCCTTGCTTGAAAGCCAGTCGAATCCGACTGTAGGGTTGCAGTGCTCATCTCTGTTTCAAAGCCGAAGAGCCAGCGCTGTCCAAAGACGTTTCCGTGGTCATGTGGCTGGCATGACTAAACACCAAGGCGCACGGAACGCTGTTACCTTCCCACTGAAGTGGTACCTATTTATCTACTTGCAATTTCTTGCTTTCGAACTGCTAGGTTGGCAGGAGCTGGAACTAGAGATGGGAGCTCACCAATGTTCCTTTTAAGCTTTGGAGTCCTGCGAGCAAAAATTCTACTTTGTGAGCTATCAGCATTAAAGTTGTGAGCGAACAATTTGGCTACTGCATAAATTAGATTGCTCTGGAGCCATCCTTCCTGAGCTAAGGCAAAAATGTGTGAGCCGAAGGCTAAAAAACTGTGAGCTAGCTCACACTAACTCAGCTTAGAAGGAACACTGGAGTTCACTCCATCATGCGGCACCCGGGTCTCGAACTGCTGAACTACCGACCTTCCACAGCCTGCAGTTCAGTGTCTTAACCACTTGAGCCACTGCAGCTCCACTGTTCCTTACAGGAGCAATAAAAAGGATTCCTCCGTTTATCATTCATGCAAGTTTTGCAGTCAAGTCAGAACTGACTTGTGGCAATTCTGTAGGGTCTTCAAGGCAAGAGACATTCAGAGGTGGTTTCGCCATTTCCTGCCTCTGCAACATGACCCTGGTATTCCTTGGTATTCTCCCATCCAAATACTAACCGGGGCTGACCCTGCTTTGCTTCCAAGATCTGACCATATCAGGCTAGCCTGGGCCATCCAGGTCAGGCGACTGAACCAGCTGCAAATTCCAAATTGTCTCCAAGTGCAGCCCATCACAGAGCTCTGGCATTTCAGTCTCCATCACCCATTTCATCTAGGGATGCCAGCCTCCAGGTGGGGACCTGAGGATCCCCTGGAATTAGAGGTCATCTCCAGACTACAGAAGTCCGTCCCCTTGAAGAAAATGGATGATTTGGAGGAAGGACTCTGGGGCACTGTACCCCACTGAGGTCCCTGTCTACACCGGTCTCCATCCCCAAATCTCCAGGAGTTTCCCAACCTGAACCTGGCGACCCTTATTCCACCCCATAATGTGTAGGCTTGTTCACCTTGAATTCTGAGGCTGAACTGAAGATGATGATTGGGCATCAGCTGGTGCCTGCAGACCAGGAGACTTTTCAACTGGGGAGGAAGGGCTCACGAGTTCTTCATAAGAGGCCTGCAGGTACACCTTCTTCCAAAAGAGGTACGCTGCTATCCCGATGAGGACCAATAAAAGAATTCCAACAATCACACCTCCGACCACAGCAGCTACCTGTTCTGAGTACACAAAAGCACATAGACCTATAAGTGAATGTCCTCATGTGCAGGAAAACTGACATCTAGCTGGCCAGTTTGGTGTAGTGAGAGCCAGTTTGGTGTCGTGGTTAAGTGCGCGGACTCTAATCTGGGAGAACCAGGTTTGATTCCCCACTGCTCCACTTGCACCTGGCTGGATGACCTTGGGCAAGCCATAGTTCTGATAAGGGCTGTCCTTGAAAAAGAGCAGTTTCTGTCAAGAGCTCTCTCAGCCCCACCTACCTCACAGGGTGTCTGTTGCGGGGAGGGGAAGGGAAAGGAGTCTGTAAGCCGCTCTGAGACACTTTTGGGTAGTGAAGGGCGGGGTATAAATCCAATCTCTTCTCTTCTTCTTCTTCGACCTCTGAAGTCCCTATGAGTCTCCTTTCTTTCTGTTGTTGTTGTTGTCACAGTAAACACACCTTTGGGTAGCGAAGGGCGGGATATAAATCTAATCTCTTCTTCTTCTTCTTCTTCTACTCTAAGG